GGCTTCCCCCCCGCCCCATCTCCCAGGTCTCCTCCGGAGAGACGGAGTACAACCCGCCCGAGTCCAAGTGAGCGGACTGTCCCCCAGCAATACCGGGCAGAGGTGCCCTGCCGCAGGGGGTGTCTGAGGGGGGGCGGGCCCAGCCTCGCCACTCGGGCGTACCTGCACTTCTCCCGGGAGCACGGCGCTCGCTGGGACCTGGGTCCGTGGGCAGAGCGTGCCGAGCCGGGAAGCGCGTTCCTTTCCGCGCCAAAGGCCTGCCCACCTCCGCCCCTGCAGCTCTGGGGGGACAAGCCAGCAGCCCCCACTCCCCAGCCTGGCCTGTTTCCTGCAGAGCTTGAAGTGGAAAACGTGTGTGTTATTCTTCTGGACTTTCTCGCTGGACACGGAGGACAGGAAGCCCGCAGCCCGGGCTCCCCGCGGCCCAGCAGGGCAACGTTGCAATAGACGCGGGACAGTGACCATCGCTGCATTCTCAGTCCTTCTCGGGTGGCCTTAACCAGACCTTGTTGCACTACGTAGAAAACTCGTACCAAAACCCCAGCCTGCTGTCGGCAGGAGGCCAGGCTGCCACAGCGAAGCTTTAATGTGATGAAACTGGCAAGTGCCTGTCCTGTGGGCCCAGAAAGACACCTGCTAACTCTCGCCAATCAGCCCCGAGTCCTAGCTGTGTCTACACCCCGTGGGCAAAGAAGGGTGTTTGCTTTCACTGCGTTTGCGGTCTGTCTGCCTCTTCGACAGGGGCACCCGGATTCAGCAACGCTCCAGGCCCTAGGCATTTGTCTCGGGGCCTCTCCTAACATTCCTGTTGATTTATACCTTTTTTTTAAAAAAAAAAAAGCAAAAATAAATGTGCACAATCTTATTGTCTCCCGAGACTCGTATCTTTCAGGGAGCGTGAGCCGGCGTAGCTCGTCGGACGACTGCACCAGCAATAAAACCCTGCCCTTTGCTACCGTGGCCTTCGGCCGCCTCGCAACGCCCTGCCGGCTGTCTCAGCCTCGCGTCGGACATCGCTGCTGGTAGGGAAGAGGACGCGCCGGGCCGGGAGAGGATCCGGCTGGCCTGCAGTCAGGGCAGGTGCAAGAGGAGTCGGGGTTCGCCTCGCAACAACCACGGAGCTTCGTAAGAGGGCTTGCCCCAACCCTTCCCCCGAAAGACCAGCGCAGCCCTCAACGCGTGGCGTTTCTCACGGGGCTCCCTGCCGCCGCTTCGCCAGGCTGGGTGAAAGCCGGTGGAGGAGACCGTTTTGCGATCGTAACGGGCGTGAGAGAGCTGCGGCCGTCAAGAGGATCCCCTCGTATCGATCCCCTTCACCACTGCTCCGGGAGACCCCTCCGTCCCTCCGTCAGTCTGTCTGGGTTTGATCCTGAAGTGGCAGGAAATAGAGACGTTTGGGTTTGCAGCCAATGGCCAATGACACTTTCCTGCTTTTAATCGACCTTGGAGGGGATCGGGGGGGAGATGGCCTAGCCCTAACCCTAGCCCTACAGACTTGAAACCTAGAAGGACCCGAGTCCTGATCTCTCCCTGCGCCCAGATGTGTCGAGCCAGAGAGGGGAGGGGGCATGGCTTGGGCTAGAAGGAGCTGTCTGCGGCTATTGCGTGCACCTGCCCGCTCAGACGTAAATCGCGGTGGTGGGGCAGCCCAGCCATCCCTGCCAAAACGAGACGTTCTGTGTTCACAATGCAGCCATGAGCCCATCACCAGAGCGTCTGGCCCCCGAGCAAGGGAGCAATGGATCAGTCCCTGTAGGACCCAGTCACTGTAACTTAGCGGGAAGGAGGAGGGAGCTGCCACATTGTTCCTCACCTTTCCTCTCCACTGGGGAGTCCGGGTCGGGACGCGGGTATCACTCTGCCCACGCTCCGGATGCGTCCGCATCCGAACAGCTGTGGAAGCCCCGGCTTTCCTGCCGCGTGCTGACACTTGCACCCTGGAGCCAGCCTGCTCTCCCTGCCCCCGGCCTGTCACTCTGGGTGAGGCGTGAGGGCGGGCAGGGACTTCCGCGCCTGACACCAACCCCTGTCGAGAGCTTCACAGTCGGGCCCTTCTCCGTAACCGGCCGGAGAGGAGGGAGGGGAGATTCGGGTCAGGCCCCAAAGCTTCTGGCTCTGGCCCAGCTCTCTCCAGAACCAAATGAAACCTCACAGCTCCAGAGGGGCGGCCATGAGGCGCGGTGTCTGTCCCCCTGCCCTGGCTCTAGGAAACGGCTCCCCCCTCCCTCCCTTTTTTTTCAGGATGTTCCATGTGTTACTAGCATCACCGAGTAGAGACAGGGCCCCGCCACCACGTCTAGAGATTTCTCCTCCAAGCTGCAGGTTCCGGGGGAAGGTCTGTGGAGGGAGGCGGGTTGGTGCGAACCTCGGAGACGCTCGAGGAACGTTAGGCTCCGAGTGAGAGTCCCGACGGGCGCACGGACCCTGTTTGCGAGCCCCTCGAGCAAAGGCGCCTTTGCTTTCGTTAGCCGGGACGTTGGAAGCCACGGCACCGTCCGTCCTCGCCCTGGCCAGTGAGGCCTTGTTGTAGGGCCCTGGACTTTCCACCCTGGGCTGGGAGGAGAGGATGTGGGCTCGCGCAGGAGGACATCTCTGCTGTAAGCCAGGGGATCAACTGCAAACGCCGCTCCTCAGGGAAGGGAGGCTCTCGAAACGTGCTGCTGCTCGACACCGAGCCCTGTTGCGTGCCGAGTTTGCTCCCAGCCTCCTTTCTCCAGCTCCGGGCTGGAGGTGACTTTGTGATGGGGGACTGGCTAGACCAGGCTCTTCCCCTGCGCCGTGCCTCGGTTCTTGCTTCCCCCGCCCCCCAACTTGTGTAAGGAGAAAAACCAATGCTGGGGGAGAGACTGGAGCAAAGCCCTCACCTTCAGTCCCTGCCCGGAGACCCAGGGCGAGCCCCCGACAGAGCAATATTCGCAGCCTGCGGAAAAGATGGGTTGGAGCCTGCGGGCTGCGTTGTGGTCGGCGTGCACGTAATACGAGAGAGAGAGACTTTTGTAACTTTTTTTTGGAATGATGTCAATCTACAGATTTCTACCCTATTTCCCCCAAAACGGAGCTGTCGAAGTTTGGAGCTTCCCAGAATGCCCCTGGCTTTTTATAGAGCACTGAGACACCCTGTGGATGTGCCTGATCTCTTTAGAACTGGGCGGGCCAGTGGAAATCGTAGGGGGCTTTGCTGGCCCTGTCCTGAAAAGACTTGAATTCCAGGGGCACCTGCTCTCCGGCCGGTCTCTGCCGTGGCCTCCGTGAGAAGGGTTTTCTTCCTCGCCCTGCGCTTGGCTTGCACCTTCTCTGCTTTGGAGGGTGGCACCTGCCGAGCAATTGTCCTGCTCTTCCCAAGCGGGACTGCTCCCAGCTCCACCCACCCCTGCACGTGAAAACCCCCTCCTGGCGCGTGAAACCCCCTCCCGGCGCGAGTGTCTACGTCACATGGTCCGCTCTGGGGCACGGCTATAGGTGCCCAAGTTTGGGGGAGGTAGAACTGGCCCCACGCCTGATCCCTGAGTGCAGTGGTATGGCTCTGGGGGGATTACATAAGGGGTCCCTACTTCCCCCCCCTTTATAGGGAGTGAGGGTTCCTGGTGCATCAGCCTTTTGGGGAAGTGACTTCAAACAACGGGCTTGACCAAAGTAGCACCGCTGGGTACCAAACTCTCTCCAGCTTGCAGTCATGCTACAAACTGGTCTCCAAGCACCCTGAACCGGGGGGAGGAGGGTGGCTTTGTGCCATATGGCATTAACGGATCCCCCAGTCTTGTCGGATCGCGTCCCAGTCTGACCCGAGCCCAGCTCTCGTTCCTGGGGAGAGGAGAGCAGCGTTCACTTGGGGAGACCGGCAGAGAATTTGAATAGTCCTGGGGTTGTGAACTCCCCATCTCTGGCCGTGTGGTCCTTCAGGCACTATTTTTGGAGCTGTTGCTTACACGTTTCCTTGAAACCCAACCTTGAGGCGAAATGGCCCACCCAAGTCTTTCACTCACGCTCCCGTCCCAGCTGCCCGGGGAGATGCTGTCCCGCAGGGAGAAGGGTAAATGAGAGACCCACAAAAGTGGTGCGTGCGGTACTCGGAACAAGGGATTTATAGTGTCGCGCTGGCTGCTGATTCTCTCCGAAAGCAAACTAAAGCACAATCCCAGAAAAATGTTTATGCCTTAAACTTGAAGAGGAGCGTGGCCCCGTTCTGTATGGGGATCGTTTGTTGGGTTTGCTAGCAACGAACGGTGTGTGTCATATTTAATAAACTTGATCAAGGAAGAAATGTTTCTTGATGATTCCTAGACCCTCCTACTGCACCCACCTAATGTGTGATAAAACTGTGCGCGTCTCTTGCATCCTTCACGGGAAGACCCCCAAAATGATGACAGTTCAGACTTAATTTACTCATCCGCGCTTTGGGAGTTTTACCCATGTGCCCAGCGTTTTGGAAATTTGAACAATTTGCCCCAAGCCACGTTCCCTGTGATCTTTTGCATCCACACGCACATTTTCTCCGTCCATGTGTGGAATAATTTTATGTGGACCGAGGACGTGCGATTGTGCACCCACCACAGCAGAAACGAAACCGAGCTGTGGGTGCTCTGCTGATCCGCTGGGCGGCATTGGGATCTCTCCTGCACAGCCACCCGAACGCGCAGAAGTTTCCTGCAGCAGGGCAATTTCATCCACATCCACACATTGGGCCTCGTTTGTGTTACCCATTTGGGGGCCAAATTGGCTAGTGCCTGCCTTCTTCCCGCAGCGCACGTGCAGGTGGAGGGGGTGCTGAGGGACTAGCGAGGGACCAGCATGGACAGCGGGTGTTTCTGGGCTATCAGAGGCCTTCAAGGAAGCAGTGCAACGTGCCCATTGGAACGGTGGCCCCAGCCCAGTGACCGATGCTATTATGCTTATAAGAAGCACACCGGATCGGTGTCAGGGGAAAAGGCAGCATGCTGCATTTATTGCAAATACAATGGGAAAAGCAGGGCGTCCAGGCATGCATCCTGCAGATGATCTTACAGTTAACAAGTCCCAGAGCGGTAGCTGTGTTAGCCTGTAACTTTAAAAAAAATGGAAGTCCTGTGCCATATGCCATCAAGTGCCAGTGTAATATTTTGTACCAGCACCGCCCCTCTGCCATGTATAGTGGCCAAACCGGACAGCCTCCATGCCAAAGGCTAAATGGACACAAGTCAGACATCAGGAATGGTACCACGTGCAAATCTGTAGGGCCGTGTTTCTTAAACTTTTTAAGACCCAGGAATCCTAAACAATAATTTTTTTTTAATGGGGAACACCAAGGATTTTTTGTG